TATATATATATATATATACACACACACATATATGTAAATGTTTTTTTAGATAGCAAAATAATATCGGATAGAAAGAAATTTAGTGGTACAAAATTACCTTGCAAGTCACTGGACAGTCCTGCACCGTCAGATTCCAGTCTCTCGATCGGAGAGGATAGCAACTGTAGTGGAGAACTATTTAAAAATAAAGGTTCCCTGATGTATTCCCATGCATACGTTCAACCTACAGAGATACTATCTAATTTTTTATTGGAAGAGGATGAGCCAAATGGTACATAATAGAAACAGCGCGTAATAAACATAACATATACGCATGCACGCACGCACACATATATAAATTAAGAGAATTATATCTTTTAGATGTGGATATCGAGAATAATGTAATGTCACACAATGATATCGAGCTTCCATCCATCTCTGATTTAATACGTGACTGTCAATATGAAAGCAACAATTTTCATTTGACACAACTTATGGACAACTGCGACTGGTTGTGCAATACAAGTACTTTATCGTCAAACTGTAGTGGCGACGAAATTAAAAGAATCAAGGAAGAAGAATACGACGAGGACAGTAATGACAGTCCAGTTTCCGTACAAGAGCAGCCTCCAGTTTCTTTATTTAACCAAACAAAGCATCGTCAACGACCTTGGTTAAAATCTTCCGTCAACAGTAATTATCCTTTATCGCGAATTGCATATGTACATGCATATGTACAACAAATACAAAATACACACACAAATATATACATTTCAGATGAAAAAATATCACGCATGACTCATCAAGAAGAAGTATATTTGTTGCAAAAGATCAGTAAGACTAATCTGGATGAAGCCCCGCCTGCTGTTAGAAGACTATACAGAAAATTAGCAGTACGGAAAACGAAACGAGAGTATGGACTTCCTTTGCTGGACGTCGATTGTTTCGGATCTAAATCGGGAGCTTTCGTAACGCCGTCGAGAAACAATGATCGGGTATTAGATCGATTTTTTAACGATGATCTAGGATGTATTTTCGAGCATAGATTGCAGGGTTACAATGAACCTACATCTGTGCATAGTCCGTACACAAATAGACTTTTGAAGCCATTTATTAGACGAGATACTAGTTGTCAGCCATTATGGTTAAAAGTTATGGAAGAATTAAGCACGAAGGTAAATAAGGATGATCCACAATGGAAGCCTAGGGCATCCATCGATTATTCCTACATCAGACCACAACACATTCCGGCCATCAATAGTCTCTGTTGTCAGTTCTTTTGGCCTGGTATAGATTGTAAGTGTATATTGTAGATAAAAATGTATAACTATATCTTTATACCTATATAAATTATCAAAGATATTAAAAAGCTTTATAATTCTTGTTTATCTCTATATTTTAGTGACCGAATGTTTGCAGTATCCAGATTTTACGTGCGTAGTGCTGTATAAAAAATTGGTCGTAGCCTTCGCGATATTGGTACCATACGTTGGCTACAATGAAGCCTACATCTCATTTCTTTTTACACGTCCGGAGTGGCGGAAATCTGGCATCGGCACTTTCATGCTGTATCACTTAATACAAACCTGTATGGGACAAGACGTGACGTTACATGTGTCGGCCACGAATCCCGCTTTGATATTGTACCAAAAATTTGGTTTTAAAGTGGAAGAGTTTGTTCAGGACTTTTATGACAAATACATGCCGCCAAATTCGCGAGAATGCAAGCATGCTTTGTTTTTACGTTTAAGTAGGTAATCTTGATGAATAAATTCAAAAATCAATCTTTCTCTCTCTCTCTCATTTTTTCTTTGTGCCCCTATATGCGAGATGTCTTTGTTAATCGTAAGAAAAAAATGCGAGAAGGATAAGATTCAAAACTGGCGCGGCAAGTCGCACGTCATCGAGGATTGACGTCATCGAGGGAGCGCTGCGAAACTGGCGTCGATTCATTCTCGAAAGTTCCGGAAGCTGCTAGATGGAAAGTTTATATATATATGGATTGCGAGGTTACGCGACAGTTTAGTACAGCTTGGTACGCGCATCGTGAGTTTGGATCCGTTTGTGATCATTCTTTGTCAACTATCGCGAACGTCGTACGTACCGTACATTTGGAGTGCTGCGCGAAATATATATACGTGAGGCATAATTACAGGATAGAGATAGTAAGTGATCGACAAAATTACAGGCAATTACGAGGCTTTAAGGGGAAAGGAAAAATCACGGAATAACAATGTCAGAGTATTCGTAACCTTGTGACCCGTTTGCGAATCGATCGCGCATTTTCCTTACGGTTTATCGCGTACATACTTTTCCTTCCCTCTTGGCCTTTCGTCGGGATCGATTTCCCGCGCGTGGAAAATGCGAGAGACGGAACGACGACAATGGCAACGACACGGAACTTAAATCTAAGGGTGGGGTATTTATTTTTGCGTTGCAGCTCGAAACATTCGTCGCGTATTCGCGGTCATCATTGCCAGAAATAGATATCGGTGATACGTACGTGGGTGTGTTGGAGCGCTGCTTCTCGACGGTTCTCCTTTTTCCGAGATCGCTCGAGATTCGAAAAGAATGGCAGGAAGGGCAGGGAATTCACGCGGACGCCTTCCCGCTTTTTATTCGCGTGTCGCGCGACGCTTTTCGTTCGATCGCTTACTTTACACGATATGACAAATTGGGACGCACACGCGCGTGCCAATGCACGTCCGTGAGAGAGCGAGCGAATTTACGAATCGTAGCTTGCTCGTCCTTCTGTCTCTTCTCATTTCATTTCAACGCTGTGAGTGTTTTATCGTGCCGATAACGAGAGTGTGATACGACGAGGCCACGCGCACGTGACTCGTAGACAGTAAACTCTAGTTTCTGAGCTATAATAATACATCAGTAGCAATATATTGAAGCCAGTTTGAAAAGCACACAGCTTTATACTTCGCAAGGAAATGGATTTTTCAAGTCATTTTAATTCTTATAAAATAAAATCATTCATTGCATTGAAGAAGGGATATGTAATGGTTTTCTGTATACTACTGTTTTTAAAAATGTATATTATGCACTTTTTGATAAAGAAAAACTTATGCAGATTTCTAGACAGTAGTTAGGCATAGGACCCTTTGTTCATCTCTTTGTCTCACCCACTGTTTTCTTATAGGTTTGTAGAGGTCTTGTCAAAAGGAATTGAAATAATCATGCGATTTTTTATCTCTTTCTCAGATAATGAGACCTTTGGTCTAAATCTGGGCGTAATTTTGTTTTTGTCAAAGAGCGTATAATTAGGGAGATTAATATGTATAACAATACAATACACTGTTTCAGAACCAGCAAGGGGATGGGAAAGGATTACTACAAGATACTTGGCATAGCCAAGGGAGCGAGTGATGAGGAGATAAAAAAGGCTTACAGAAAGTTAGCCTTACGATATCATCCTGACAAGAACAGAAGCCCTGGTGCTGAGGAAAAATTCAAGGAGATAGCCGAGGCATATGAGGTGTTGTCGGACGCGAAGAAGAGAGAAGTTTACGATAAATTCGGCGAGGAGGGGCTGAAAGGTGGTGCCTCAGCCAGCGGAGGTGGAGGAGGTGCCACGTACACCTTCCACGGCGATCCCAGGGCAACGTTCGCTCAATTCTTCGGTTCAGCCAGTCCCTTTCACAACTTGTTCGAGTTCGCTGGTAACCGTGGCGGAGGATTCGCCTTCCACGATGACGACATGGATATTGACATGGATCCCTTTGGACTGGGTAGCATGGGACCACCGCGACAAGGCGGCGCTTTTAGGTCGCACTCGTTTAACTTTGCGAGCCCGACTACTAAAGTGTCTGGCAAAGATCGTGCCCAAGATCCGGCAATCGAGCATGATTTGTACATCAGTCTCGAGGAGATTCTGCGAGGTTGCACGAAGAAGATGAAAATATGCAGACGGGCCATACAGCCAGACGGTAGCACGAAGAAGGAGGATAAGCTTCTCACCATCAATGTGAAACCAGGCTGGAAAGCTGGTACGAAAATCACTTTCCAGAAGGAAGGTGATCAATCGCCGAGGAGGGAACCTGCAGACATTGTCTTTATCATCAGGGACAAGCCGCATCCACTGTTCAGGAGAGAAGGCAGTGACATCAGATATACGTGCAAACTGAGCTTGAAGCAAGCTTTGTGCGGTGCTATTGTCGAAGTTCCTACGCTAACCGGCGAAAAGATATCTTTGAATTTAACGAGGGAGATTGTAAAGCCGATCTCGGTCAAGAGGTTCCAAGGATATGGTCTACCTTTCCCGAAGGAACCGTCGCGGAAGGGCGATCTTCTCGTGTCGTTCGATATCAAATTCCCTGAAACTTTAACACAAAGCGCCAAGGATATATTGTACGATACGTTACCCAATTGAGCTCGTATTAATGATCGAAAAAACACGAACGCGTATGAAATGTTGTTGCAATTTCATATATTTAATCTTCTCGATCAGCAAAGTACGGATACGTTTTCATGTGCGTTCTAGTACATGGAGAGAGTAGCGATAATGACATTGACGATGTTCGACAAGGACGACGAGGACGATGACAGTGACGATGACGATAATGACTACGACTTTGATGGAACGCAATCGAGAACGATTAAATATTCCCGCGCGCGCGCGATTTGCTCTTTAAGAGGCCAAATCAAATAAGATATGTACCCTTTTCGATGTCACATCGATATTCAATTCAGTTGAAATTCAATGAATTGGTGTCTACACGTAGCGTTGGTCTCAACTAAAGACGTCAAGAGTAAACACACACAGATATAAATACATTAAATTATATTATAAAATGAGAGAGAATCTGTTATATCGCTAATTTCACGTGGTTGTGTGTCTGAATTACTTTATTTTCTTCATTATACATATGTGCAAGTATGTGTGGATGTGTGTGCGTGTGCCTAGGGATATATATATAGTATGTACGAAGGCTGTAAGATAACGCAGGTACAATATCAGAAATTTTATTCGTTTTATTTAAACCGAATTTAAACGAGAAAAAAAAAGAGGAAAGAACGGTGAGAGAAAGATTTCAGATATTGCGACAAGTCTGTACATCATTTTCGTCGTACGTACACTATCGAAAGCCTATTCTACAATTGTTATTTAAGCGTAGTTGTGAATGGTTGCAATTATAAGAATTCAAAGTCAAATACAAGAAGAGACTACTTTAACTACGATTGGTTAATTCTTGTACATGATTATACAACTATTACTTACACACTTATAGAATGGGCTTAGTATAAAAAGAGTTTTTGTTTACATTAAATATTGCAAGACAACCTGACGAATGAATATATAATGAATATATAATATAGACTCGATTGTTTTTTTTATATCGAGTCAGTATCCCTCGTTATGTAATTGCTCCTAAGTTTAATGATTGATTAATTATTTGTACGCTAAATATAATACGAGAAATATTAAGTTATACGATACACATCTTCTTTATTACCCTCGATTCTCCGTTCCGCTCCTATGGAAATACGAATATAACATCGGGACAACTCTTAAAATAGACGGTGAAGTGGATGACGTCATCGCTCTCTCGTCCTATCTCTCGAGTGCTTTCGAGACACCTCGTACGAATCGGGAGAATATGCGTCCACTTTACGCAGCAGTCTACTTTCCTCCTTGTCTTGCAATATAAGTGACCTTGTCGCTCGATCGACTAATAGCTATCGATCCTTTTTCCACGTTCATCTGTATCGTCTTTCCCCTTTAATGTTAATGCTGTATTAATAATTGTCAATAATAGGATAAAGTAATGCAGGTAATTCGATATAATCCTTATCGATCCATTCGTCTTCGCCGAACGGAGAAGCGATGCCGCGTGATACAGAAGTCAGCAAAGGTACACCGTCTGGACCTGATGTCAGGTACTTGATGACACTTAATCGATCGGCGAAGCCAAGTCGATTTTGTGCATTTTGCGGCCCCAATTCCTCATTGTCGTCCTCGTGCCGATAAATCTCCGGCAATTTTTTATCGAATCGAAAGTTTTCCGGCAGACAGTGATGCTGACGGCAGAAGTAATCTTGGCCCTCTTCAGCGTGACACCACGTTCCATCCGGAAAGTACGGGTCGAGTCCGATGTCGTTTAATTCGACGCGTGGCGCGTAATAAGCGGCAATGTCCTTCCGCCGACAAAATATAGCACAGGCCATCCATGGCTTGTCGGCTTCGTGAGCCGCCTGCAATCCTTTCGCCGTGCCGTCCAATTTGGGTAGTCTTTCGCCGAAAAGGCTACATTTCAGGGTGGCAAACTCGTCGACAGTCCTGCGTTTCTTTTTGCAAAGTCTCTCATCCTTGCACAGCAGGACGTCGTAATACAGCCCTTTGCAATCCCCCGCCGTTCTCAGGCGGTGTCGATTCTCGCAGAATCGCCGTCTAACTCGAGCGCCTTTGGATCTCTGTAAACAACCGCTATTACAGGAACCTTCCTTCCATTCGCTCCAGCTACCTTTCTGGCTATCGGACGATTCCGGGACAGGTGCGGGAACGGGTAGACATTCTCCACCGCGACATTCTCTACCGAGCGCGCATCGAGTCCCTGTAAAAAGGAAAGAAATTATAATTAGTTTGCCGAACGCTAACAGACTTACTCGTATGATATACTTATGTTACAGGTACCGTCCAACGCTGGTCCTGCGAAATAATATCCACTCCTGTGAGGCGTTTCACATTGCAAAGACTGACAAGCCTGATACAATGTAACAACGTCCGCGTCTTTGTCACGTAAAAGTAATTCGCATTGCCTCTTGGCGGTCCATTCTCTTCCAGGTAAATCGCGATATCGCAAATGATTGTACGCATCCGAGAAGTTTCGTGGTTCCGGCTGATCCAAGAGACACCGTTTCGTTTGCGAAAGCATCTCGGCCACCTCACGACTACAATCGGACCAAACCGTCTCACCTCGAACGCCTCTACTGGGTGACATTATGTATCCGTCCTTTGGACACGCATTGCCACTTGAATCGTGTGGCATTCCTAAACTTTCAAACAAAAAGATCATCCGAGCGTCAACACCTACATATCGTATCGCTTACTTATTGACTAAATTATATATGGCTTACTTGTGACCAATTTCATGAGCGGCGATATAAACCGAGGTAAAGCCCGCGGACGGATACGGCTTTCCAAGTTGGTCCGTAACTCCCAATTCTGCTATCACACAGGAATAACGTGGGATGCATAGACCGCCGACGGCGGCTAATCCCATGGTGGCACCGTTCCTCCTTCCGTTTTCGATCGCGTAAAGATCCAGTCCAGTTACATAGAGGCCCATGTCCCAGTGATGGAAATGAGTGTCTTCTGGAGGATTGCGAGCGTTCGCGTAATAGCAAAACGAATCCAACAAGCTACCTCTCTCGCCGCCAAAATGCGGTAGATCAACTGGCTGTCTCTGAATAATGTCTAAGCGTATCAACGAGATGTCGATTGGAACACCGAGACTCGGATGATGATACAGTGCCTGAATACCATTGACGTACGCTAGCAACATGTCACGAATCTTCTCATCGTCTCCATCAAGGAAAGGCGAAAATAAACGATACGCAGCCTCATCGAAGAAGACTGCCAGTTCTAATGTCAAATTTTCTTTTGTATCTCGTATTAGGCGTCGTTTCGTTTCAAGATCTGGATTGATGAGCGGTGATCTCGACGGTGATCGCTTAACCACGTGAGGGTCACCCAACAGAAGATCAGCTTCTTCTTTAACATAATGGTCATCGATGAGTAACGGTGAAGATGCGAGGCCCTTTCGCAAAGGTGTGATCTCCAATGTAACGTTTTCCAGAAAGATGAGTCCGTGCTACCTCCAACAGAGATGCATTTTTTATTTTACATGCACATCCTTATATGAAAAGAGAGCGAGAGAGAGAGAGAGAGAGAGAGAGAGAGAGAGAGAGAGAGAGA